GTGAGATACAATGGACTGTGGATGAGGTGCAACGGCGTTTGCCTTTACGGACTGCAATGGGAAGGTCAAGGTCATTCAATGGAAGTGAGGGCTCAGAAGATGGAGAAGGCTCAAGAGCAGAAGGCTCATTTGTAATGGGAGCTGGAAGAGATGTAGTACCTGGATTTGGATCTTCAGAAGGAATTGGGGCTGTTCTGGACTGTTGATGACCGAAATCAACCTGCCTCCATCGTTTGTGATAAACTCTCAAATCCCAACATTTTTGACAACTCTCCCCATTACATCCCTCTTCACTCAATGGAACAGGTAAAGAGACTTCTGATGTGTTAACCCCAATTGTACTACACTCCCCCTGAGAAGAAACCCTAGAGTAATAAGGTACATCCTCAAAGTTACATCCATGGATACAAATCTCTTTCCTGAAGCAGGTTCGTAGCAGCAGTATCCTTTTTGAGTTTGTGCATAACCAAGGAAAATACATTTTGAGGCTTTAGGGTCAAATTTGGAACAGTGAGGGCCAAGAGTTTGCACGAAGCAGGTACAACCAAAGGTTTTAAGAGGGACAGAAAACAACTCTTTATCAGGATATAAATGAGTGAATGGGGGTTTCATGTCAAGAACCCGTGAAGGAATTCAGTTGATGAGATACACAGCTGTGAGAATGGCATCTCCCCTGAAATTTATAGGCACATTGGAGTTGAATATGATACTTCTAGCTACTTCCAATATGTGCCTATTCTTTCTCTCAGCCACCCCATTCTGCTGAGAGGTATGAGGGTAGGTACTCTGATGGATAATCCCATGGTCAAGAAAATAAGAGGCTAGTGATGTTTTAAAGTATTCTCTCGCATTATCGGATCTGAAAATTTTGATTTTTACCCCAAACTGGGTTAAAATCATCTGATGAAAGGTCTGGGTTAGGGTAGGGACCTTATCTCAAGAACGCATCAAGTAGACCCAAGAAAATCGGGTGTAATCATCAACAAACAGCAAGAAGTATCTGTACCCCCCATAGCAGTGATGTGATATGGTCCCCAAACATCGGTATGCACAATGTCAAAAGGAACATTATTTCTCTTATTACTTAATGAATAGGTTGTTCTACAATGCTTTGCAAGCTCACAACTTTCACACTTTAAACTGGACATCTGGATAGATTCAAATAAACTAGGAAACAAGCTTTTCAAAGACCTAAAGGATAAATGACCCAATCGGTTATACCAAAGCATGGCTTGACCAATAGGCTGAGAAACAAAAGACCCTGTAACTTCACTACCGTCCCACTGTGAACTTCCTCCAAGCAGATAGATTCCATTTGTCTCACGGCTAGTCCCAATCACCTTCCTTGTCTCCAAGTCCTGAAAAACATATCGATCAAGAAAAAGGTTATTGAGCAATTATGGGTTTTAGTAATGCTGCTATCTGAAAGTAAATTGGTGCTAAGTTTAGGAACATGCAGAACAGAAGATAGGGAAATGGCACTAGACAACTTGATGTCTCCCTTGCCAGAAATGGGAACAAGTGATCCATTAGCAATAGACACCTTGTCTTTACCAGAGGATAAGTGATAGGTAGTAAATAGTGAAGGCAAACTGGTCATATGATCAGATGCACCTGAGTCTATTACCCAACAATGTTCAGTGTTACTTGGAGCTGAAGCATGATAAGCTGAGGCCCGTGTACCTGAATGAGCAAATGTTGAGGTGGGAGGAGCTGATGTTGTGACTGGTTGAGATGATGATGCTGAATTACCAACCTCCTTTTCCAACTGAGTCAAGGCAACTCGGATAGCAGCTAGAGTGTCTAGTGGTGCTGCTCTTGTGCCTGATGAGGTTGCTCAATCAATAGTAACAGCTGTATTAGCATTCCCCTTTTTGTTCTTGAGTTTTGCGGGAACTAGATGAGGATGTAGCTTCCAACAGGTTTCTTTGGTATGCTTAGGTTTCYTGCAATGTTCACATATTAGGTCCTTCTTGTCTTCCTTCTTCATATCTCTCTCCTTATCCCCCCCAAACTTGGGTTTAGTTGCTGCCCAGGCTGATTCAAGTGGCGAATGCTGTAACATAACTTTCATTCTACTTTCTTCACTATGCACTAGAGAGTAAGCTTGTGATAGAGTCACACTGTCTCTTGTCAGAAGCTGTTGTCTCATAATGTCATACTCAAGAGTTCAGACCAGCTAGAAACTCAAATACCCTATTGGTTTCAACCTGCTTTCTGTAGGTTTGTGCATTCTTCTGGCTTTCCCACTCAATTGTTTCTAAGTGAYCAATCTCATGCCACAAGGATTTCAAGGTGGAAAAATAAACCGAGACTGGCTTCTCTCCTTGCTTAAGGTTATTCACCTTACATTTTAGCTCATAGGCCCTAGCAACATTGAGGGGTTGGGAGTAGGTTTCTTTCATGATATCCCAAATTTCTTTAGCTGTTTTTGCCCATAAATAATTTTGGCTGATATGTGGTTGCATGGAGTTACACAGCCATGTCATAACCAACTAGTTCTCCTGAACCCATTTGGTATATATTTGGTCCTCCTTGGATGGTCCCTTGACATCTCCCAGTAAATAACTTAGTTTTCCTCTACCCCCAGTAGCCATCATGGCTGATTGGGCCCACTCTAGGTAGTTTGACCCATCAAATTTTATAGTGGTAATTTGAAAACTGTTCTCAGGTATGCTACTAGCACCACCAGCCCCTAAATAGTTTTCCCCTTGGCTCTTAAACTCTATTCTTTGTCAAGAAAAGATTAACAAATGCCTTTTGTATCACTGAGACTGGGTAATTACAATCAGCCAAACCTACTTTATCCTTCTAGGTCGGCAATCCACTCAAAAAAGATAACCTTAGAGTGCAGGGCTGAGAGTGCAAGGCTGAAACTAACAGCAGCCCTAGAATTGGCGACAGTCAAGAAACTAGAATCTTGAGCCTAGAACAAAGGTCAAGAAACAAGCCAAGAACACAACCAGTTCAGCCGCACCTCTTAAAGTAACAAAAAAACTATTCTTTTAATGTATCAAGAACAGTTCAGGAGGAAAAAACTTTCAGTCGAACCTTTTGAAATAACCAGAAAAGGTAATCCTTTTAATAGAAAAGATTGACTTACTTCAGCAAAACTCTGGCTGCAACCTTCAAAGATAAGTCTGAACCCTAATCTTGAGGGTTCTTCCTTCTGACTTTATGGCCGCAACCTTCAAAAACAAGTCTGAACCCTAATCTTGAGGGTTCTTCCTTCTAACTCTTCCTGATTGCTGGTCATCCTCTGATGCTTCACCAACAATCTCCAAGACTCAGCCGATGATCCTTTTTGCTGGAAATGTTCCAACCCTAGGAAATTCTTATGCAGCCGGCCATGTCAGACTATCATAAGATTTCCTAGGTTGGCTTTGATACCATGTAGTCGTATGAGACTACTGATAGCCCAAGCTGTGGTGTATAATCAACGGGAAATTAAGAGGATGAAAGGAGAGAATGAGAGGAGAAAGAGAAAAGAAGAGAAGAAGATTTCGAAGGAAGGATTTCAGAAAAGAAGAGGATGCTTAATCTGCCGCCCCCTCTTTCTATTTATATTAATTCTGAAGTAAGGATAAGACTGCTTACATGGCAAAATTAAAATCCTAATAAAAGACAACAATTAAAGTCCTAATAAAAGACTAACTAATTGTGGACTGACACTTAAATAACTAGTAGTTGTATACGAGTACAATAGAAAGAGGTGGGGACCACATCAGTGGTTTCTACACAGACCAAAAGAAGAGTTGGTGGAAGCTGTAAAGATAAAAGTTGCTCATTGGATAAAAACACTCAAGCTGTTCTAAAGCTTCTCTGTGGCTGATATCCTGTGGGCTTGGAAAGAAGTGGCATGTTCAACTAAGAAGAAAGAAAAGATGGTGATGGAATGGAAACCCCCTGCCAATAAGTTAAAGTTTGAACTTTGATGGCAGTTCCATAGGGAATCCGGGATTGGCAGGTATAGGGGGTGTTTTCAGAGACTCAACAAACAAAGTTCTGGCTATGTATTCAGGGCCTATAGGGGAAGGTGACTCCATAAAGGCTGAGCTTCATGCTCTTTTGCAGGGATTAAAACTAGCCAAACAAGCAGATTTTAAAAATTTGGAGGTTGAAGGAGATTCAAAACTGGTGATTTCTTGGTCCAGTTTCAGAGGTAACGCTCCCTGGATTTATAGACATTCCTTGCGAGAGATTGAAAGTTTAGCAAGGGAGCTCAATGCCACTTTCACTTGGATTAGGACTGCAAATGGGATGCTGACTCGCTAGCAAAACAAGGAGTGTACAGACAAGATCTATTCTGGGCAGTTTTGTAATTCTTTTCAATTGTTGTGTTTGTATTCTCCTGCTGGCTGTATTTTTTTTTCAACTTAATAAAATTTATTCTTCTTTACTGGTAATATTTTATTAATTAATTAATTTAGTGAATGACAAAGCAATCAGTCATTCAGTTCAGCCACTTCAACCTTTATTGAACGGCCCTCAGACAATGGAGGGTACAGTTATATACTCACTAATAGTAATCACTACAGGAAGGGGCTAGGTGGTAGTAGAAGTTAGCCACTTTCTTTTGGAGTGCTTGGTACTTTTTGTACATAACACATTCTTTTTCCACAAATGAATAAATTTTACTGTTGGTTTCCAATAAACAAATGTATGAAGGAACTATTGCTCCAGAATTATTATGTACCGGATTCCTGTATTATTGTAGGAGATTCTCAATGCACACATGCACAGATTTGTGGTTGTAGATAATTATTTTATTTACCTTGCCTTTTGGCCATATATGATACTTGGATACCTATACAATGGTGTCATGTCACGTCGAGTTAGATACTTCAAGTTTTAGTGTAAATTCTATATTTTGTCTAGTTGTGTTCTTGCCATATTTGGATAGCATAGGTTGCCAGTGCTAAGTTAACTAGTTTTTCAGTTTCGCTTATGTGCCCAGGTTGCCATAGATAAGATTTTCCTTCAACTTTGGGTGAATGCAGGTTTTGGATTTGAGAAGTTTGACATGGTCCAAGGTAGAGATTAGGGCGGGAACTGAGTCTTCAGAATCTTCATCTCCAGTACTATCGGCCCCATGTGCTGGTCATTCCTTGGTTAGTGTGTTATGAGGTTTTGAATTTGCTATTATGGTTTTCTAACTTACATGTGAGGTTCTGCAAGGAACTAGTAAATCAGTTGTGTGTAATACTCAGAATTCAGTGTGATGCCAATGTCCACTTTTAGTGAATGTTTTTGACTGGTACATGACCCTTTTTTAGTGGATAGTGGCATTAGTTCATCATTTCTTTTTCCTGTAGATACTGTGGGAAAATAAACTTCTTTCCATTGCGGGACATACAAAGGACCCTTCTGAGACTGTAACAGGTAATCATATTGTTTTCTTGTTCATATAGTCATATTTTAACTTAGCAACGTGTCATCTTTCTTATGCTTTTTACTTATTCTAATTTGTTTTCTCATGACAGTGAAGGCGTTCGATCTGCAAACGTGTACGTGGTCAACCTTAACGACTTATGGAAAAGCACCGGTATTTTATACACATTTCCCCCCTCCCCTAACAAAAAATAATAATGGAACCATATGAATTGTAAGTATGGCTTTATCAGGGTTGGATGATTTCCCACTAACATCTAGAGTTCAGGATCCACTAAAAACATAATTTTGATAAAAACTTCAAAATGCATGATTAGATTTTAAGTATTTTGTGTGCTGTTTTGTGATTGCATTCTTTACAAGGAACATTTTTATTTCTTGAAGTACCATCTTGCCTACCTCATTTCACTTGGTTTGTTATTTCTCTGTTTCCATGATATTTTTGTTTATTTCATATATATTTACTTACATTTTACAGGTCTCACGTGGTGGTCAGTCAGTCACTCTAGTTGGTACAACATTAGTCATGTTTGGTGGTGAAGATGCAAAGAGATCTCTCCTGAACGATCTGCATGTTCTTGATCTTGAGACCATGACCTGGGATGAAATTGATGCTGTGTAAGACTCTTCTCTTGAATTCAAAAACTCACATTTGTGCCCCCTATTAGAAACCAATGATATAGAATGAGTTCAGAACAAATTTGTCCCATATCTTCAATGTGTTTGAAGTTTGAACACTTCCACCCCTTTATTAGCACAATGTATGATGACTGTTGCCACTCCCTTATAAATTGATGTGATTTTATCTATTTATTTGCCTTTTCTTTCTCCATGTTAATCATATATCTACTCTTATTGTCTTCAAAAATTACTCTTCTCAAATATCTTCTTTATTTGTACCTAATACAAACTTCAGACCAACTCATGGAGCTAATTGTACCTTGTAAGAGAATGACCATATTAGGTTTTAATTTCAATGAAACTGGAATCTTACTTACCTTCATTATTTTGTAGGGGAGTCCCTCCTTCTCCAAGGTCAGATCATGCTGCTGCAGTGCATGCAGAGCGGTACCTTCTTATCTTTGGTGGGGGTTCACATGCTACATGCTTTAATGATCTGCATGTTCTTGACTTGCAGAGTGTAAGCTATCTGCTTTCTCTGGCACCTGTCTAATTGCATTTTATGGAATGTTATCATTGACAGTGTTCATGTTATGGATGTTGCCAGATGGAATGGTCAAGACCAACTCAACAAGGTGAAATACCTACTCCACGGGCTGGACATGCAGGTGTTACAGTTGGAGAGAACTGGTTCATTGTTGGTGGAGGTGATAATAAGAGTGGTATGTTATCGTGTATTTCGATTTCTGGTCATGAAAGCTTTTGTCTTTTTGTATCATAGGACTTATTGGTAAATGATTGCTGGTTCTTGACAAACACACTAGTGCAAAAAGATACTGTAGACATTGCTGTTTTTTTTTATATCATGATGTGTGTACTGTATGTCTGTATCTATGGTGTTTCATCTGTAAGCTATGTATCTTTATCTCTTTGTTTTGACTTGCTTTGATTGGAGGGGTCTTATAACCTTTTATTTTAACAATAGGCTGCATTTGAGAGTGCAAAAGCAGAACTAAAGTGAATTTGCACACTATGGTTTGGTTTTTCTGGCTTTTGATAAGCATGTGTTTTATACTTAAAATGAAGATAAATTTGTTTTTGCACTCAAAATGAGAGCAGAGTTTGCTTCCAAAAAATGGAAGCAAACTTTGTACTCAAAGTTAAAGTTGGTCAAAGTAAAATATGTTGATTCCAGCCTTGAGATTCGTATTTGCACCCATCAGAACCCAACAAGACACTGTAAATTTATGAGTGCAAAACTGAACTGGGTTTGCATCCTTCTTTTTGAACAAATTTGCATTTGCATCAGTGCATGGTGCATTCACTTTTGCACACTTATAAACACAGCTATTACTGTATTGAGTTTTAATAGTAAGAAAAAAGGAAAAGTTTGCCCCAAGGTTTATGAATGTTCAGCTGTTTGTTCCCATTTATAAGGTTATGAACATGAACTTTCTATCAAGAGATCTTCGCTTGATTCTGGAAGGTGATTCGAAGGTGGTGTTAGTTGGTTGAAGACAGAGGACAGTGGTTTGTGGAACTTTAACAATAAAAAAAAAAACAGTTCTTATGGCTGGGTAGGGACATTGAGATTCAGTACAGCTGGGTGAAGAGGAGTGCCAACTCATTTGCGGATGGGTTGGCCNAGTGAATAGGGAAGCTGTTTTTTGGGCTAGTTTTTAATATTTTTCTTTGCATTCCCTGTGTTTTCTGTTTTTGGGGAGCTAAGTTATTTTATCTCCCCCTTTGTATACTTATTCCCTCTCTTCTCTTAATTTAATGAAGATGATGTTATTGATAAAAAAAAAGAGATCTTCGCTTGACAGTAAATTTTGTCGATAAGAACCAATACCTCTTCTTTATCATGTTCCAATGGGCCCGAGAAAGCAAAATAGTTTATCAAAGTTGGGTTTGGTTGCCACTGTCTAGTAATTCCTTAGCATATCATCTGATGGAACCGATCTCATTCCTTAGTTGCCACTTGCCACCTCTAAACAAGCAATTCTGACCTTGATTCTTCCAGTTAAACATATTCTAGAAAGTTTCTTTTTTAATATAGTTCAAATTAAAGTATGCATTGCAATTATTGACATTAAGTATGCTCCTCTGAGCCTAGAAAAAGCTACCATTATGTCATCATGTCAGTTTTTTAAGAGGAAAATGAAAGTAATTTCTAAAACCTAAGAAAGTGGGAACAAATCATCCTAGTTCATCACATTGAATGAGTAAATAGATTCCTTACCTCTTGTATTTACAAACAAATGTGAAGGGGAATGACCTAGGGGTGCATGAGGAATCTTAGCTCTACAAATGACCATAAAGAAAGATTACCTGCTTATCCCACTTTCCAATTTAAAAGAAGAAAGCCAAATGTTATTTACATCCCAAGGAATGCCAAGGCTTAGTTAAGTTGTCAAACAGAGTTCAATTTTTTTTTTGTTTGTCTTTGGTTATTGAACTTTCTGAATGCAAATGTGTAAATGAGTAGTGAGGGAAGGCAGAGCTAAAAATGTCAGCACTTTTGAGTTTTGATTCTGAGGAACTACGCTGCATTTTTATGTTAACACTTGAAATTTATACTCATGCCTTTCACTTTCTTGTAGCAGGTGTCTCAGAAACTATTGTCCTTAACATGTCTACACTTATTTGGTCAGTTGTAACTACTGTTCAAGGTCGTGTGCCGCTTGCTAGTGAGGTATGTTCCTCTAAATCTCTTTCCCTTTTGGTAAGGCTGCGTTTGGAACTGACGTAAAATGTCATCGGTGTAAAAGTACATCAAACTGTTGGCATGTGACTGCTTGAATTTTGTAAAGTGTGACGAGAAAAGCAGAATTTTACATCGATTTTATCAATGTAGTATTTACATTGATAATCAATGTAAAACTCTACTTTAGATGAAGTTTTATGTCAATTTACGATCTAAAACTCCACTCCATCCTAACACACACAAAACCGAACCAGAGTGGAGTTTTACATTGATCTTGATTTACACTCCTTCCAAACGCCAACAAAACCAAACCGGTGTAAATATTTACATCGTTCTTGATTTACATCGCTTCCAAACACAACCAAAGGAAAAACAATTTAAAGAGAAATGATGAGGAGATGGTGCATAGCAAAGACGCACTTATTAACCTGAGTCAAGCAAAATTTTAAATGTCTTTCATCTGAATAGCTTTGAATAAGAAATTCAGAATCATCAAATTTAGATGAATTAAAAGCATATTTTATTACATAAATGTGAATTTATGGGAAGGAAAAGAACTGGAATGAGAAGAGTCTGCTAACTTTTGGAACCAGAGCAATGAGAAGAGGAAGTTCAAATGGTTAACAAAAAACATTGAGGTGAAGGTAAATTGGGTTAAGAGAAGTGCTAACTCCTTTGCTGATGGGTTAGCTAAACAAGGGGTTTATAGGGACTCTTTGTTTTGGGCTATTTTGTAACTGACTTTTTGTTTTGTTGTTTTGTATGGTGAGATAAGAGTGTTTATCTCCCTTCTCTTGTACCTGTGTTTTTTATCTATTTTAATAAAATCTGCGAGTTATTGATAAAAAAAAAGGAAAAGAATTGGAATGGAACTTTTGTTTTTTAATAGATCATATTATCTGCCGTGTGTGAATGTGCATATATAATACGTTCCATTGGAGGTCACATCCTAATTGTTGCAGTGTGTACAAATATGTTCCTAAAGCATCATATCACCGTAAAAATTTGTTTTGATTTTGGATGTCAACTACTTGAAATCCTAATTGCAGTATGCAACTTCTACAATGCAAATGCTTAGGGACTGCACATTCTGGTTTCATAATGATTTTTTGTTCTTTGCATTTATATTTTTTCATCAGTAATAAAGAATGTAATTAATTTAATGCAATAAATTGGATGATAAATGATGAATATACATGACAGCAGGTGTCTCCAAAACATTGCCATTTAAGTACCATCAGGCTTGAGATTGGGATAGCTGAGTTACATGCCCTGATTTGAAATAGATGCTTAACTCCTAAAAACAAGCTAAAAATTTTCAAGTGCATATGTTCAGAAAGTACTCATTAACTCTCCCCAGAAGACAAGACTTGAGTGAGCATAGTTGTAGAAAGCCACAAGGCTACTGGACAATGTATAATGTCACAGAAAGATTAGCATGGGAAGATAATCCTCCAATACAACTCAGTATGAGTGACTCCAGCCATGACCATATCATCTGTTAATGAACTATCCTACCTTTGGATGCATCTGAATGGGTTGCTCATTCTAGGTGCAAATGCTCTAGCCTTTTTGTTGTGATGGCGCCTGATTTTGGGCATTTAGATGATTCTTTCTCAGAACTGATCTAACCTTTAAATGGTCAAGGACTATTTAATAAAAGTTACAGAGTTCAAATATGAATGAAGACCTTTGTTTCTAAACATGGCTTGAACTGTTACCCTTGCTTTATTGGAGATCAACATGCATTTTGGAAAGGACTAACTTACCCTGGTTTGCTAGAATTATCAAATTGTTTTTGTTGCCAGCAGTAGACTTTAAATGTTGATCCATTATTAAGGCTGCTAGTCGGGTTGCATGACTTGAAAATTTTCAACTATATTGGGCTTGGGTTAAGGTTTGGGCCTATTGAAAAATTGACAAATACCTATCCCAACCTGACCCTAATTGCACCCCTATCTATTATAGCTGAAATTTTCTCTTGTTGTAGGGACTGAGTTTGGTCCTGAGCTCCTACAATGGTGAAGATATTCTTGTGTCATTTGGAGGATACAATGGGCGCTACAGCAATGAGGTTAGGAGTAACTATGGTCCATTTGTGTATTGTGTCCTTTAACTTAATAAATTGATTTCTCTCTTTCTAATTTCTGTGCTGATTGTTAGGTTCATGTTCTAAAACCAAGCCATAAATCAACCTTGCAATCAAAGATAATGGAGAGCCCCATACCAGACAGTGTTGCTGCCCTTCACAATGCAACAAATGCTACCAGAGATGTGGAATATGAGTTTGAAGCTGGTCAGGAAGGGAAAATACGGGAAATTGTAATGGACAATGTTGACTCAAATCCCATGGTAACATGATATTGCAGAATGCATTTATTTTCTAGTCTTTTCTCATGCTTGTGAAATTAGTAGATAGTTAAATGCAGAAATATAGAGAAAATAATTAAACATGTAATTAGAAGCAGAAATATTTCTGAAACTTGGATCTTCTAGATATATTTCTATTAGGGGTGCAACTTTAGCAGGTTAGGGTTGGAATTTTGTCAAAATTTCAATGGGCCCAACCTGAAGCCCGAGCCAAAAACAGTGTAAATTGTTAACTGGGGCCAACCCGAGTTGCACCCCTAATTTCTATCCCTGAATTCATTGGTCAGTAATGATCAATTTGGTTCAATTGGGAGTAGTTTCTCTCTTAAGTTACTATTCTCCTCTCAAATTCTAAGAATCTCTTATGCAGAACATCAAAAGCAAAGAGAGCAGTGATCAGCTTATAGCAGCCTTAAAAGCAGAGAAAGAAGAATTAGAAGCATCACTCACAAAAGAGCAGTTACAATCCCTTAAGTTGAAGCAAGAGTTGACGGAGGCTGAAACACGAACCACGGACCTTACAAAGGCAAGTATTATTAAATGTGGATATATTTTCTGGTGAAGGACGAGTAAAATTTTGTTTTGTTCCTTAAGTTAGAAACTTGGAATATCTGGTTATATTCTCCTGTTAATCCTACTTCGTTCCTCCTTGGCTGTTTCATCATCAATTTTTAGAAGACAACAGTTAAGTTGTCACTGTATACAAGCATATGTAGGGTTTTAGACTTTAGATTCTAACATTCATAGGGATCTAAAAAGTTGATCCTTTGGATTAGTTGAATGGAAACAATGTAGTTAAATTAAGAATTAGGTAAGTTAACGAAAAGCAGTTACTTATAGCAAGGTTCAAAGTATCGACACGTATCGGCCCGTATCAGCCAATACGTATCATTCCGGGACCCCTCTGATTCGCCCCTATAGTGGGTGTATCGGAGGTCTGACCGGTTCGGGGGGTAGAGGAGACCTAAACCGCCCCCCCTGAACCAGTTGCGAAAAAAAATAAAAAAAAGGTGTGAAAACTGTATCGATTCGCCCGATACGCCCATACCGGCATATTGGGCGTATCGGTATTTTGAACCCCGACTTGTAGACTGTAAGGTTACCTTCATTATAAGCTTCTGGAGTAGCATGGGTTGGGGCACTGTGATCTGACCAGACTTGTAAAACACAACATCAAATCATCCATGTGCAAGTTTTGAAAACATCTATAGCAAAATAATTGCACAAGTAACCATTGGTTTTCCATTAAATGTCATTAATGCCATCATTGTATTTTGTAGGAGCTTCAATCCGTCCGTGGTCAACTTGCTGCCGAGCAGTCAAGATGTTTTAAGCTTGAGGTAGGTGCTGACTATGTTAGAACTTATTGTTCACTACTTTTTAGTTAGATGTTGCTTGATTCTAGTGTAGTCATGGGAAATTTTCTTTTCTCACGGTAGAAGCATCTTTTAAGTGTTCTCTTCATTTAACTTTTATTGGTACATAAAAAATTACAACAATTACCTGTTTTGACAGTTACCTGTCGAAAATTTTGGTGTCTTATTTTTATCATGTAGCAGCTTTAGTTAACAAAACCAACCTGAAGGTCAACCCAGAAAGTGACTGGTAAAAGGGTTTCTGGCTCAATTGATAGGACTGGGATGCAATGCTAACAGGATAAATATGATTCAAAGAAAAAAGCAAAATAGTACAAACTATACATAAAGAAGATGGCCCTTGCCCATAAGATAGATAGTAAACAACAGTGGATCATTGGACAAATTGGAATTTGAACTTATGGTTATATTTGTTTCTTTGTAAAATGGATGTAAAGCTTTTCAGACTGAAGTATTTCAGTTACTATATTTGTCCCTTTTTATGGCAAAAACTTTGTTTTCAACCCTTATAATTTTTTTGATGTAATAGCAAGGTAAACAAAATGTTTTATTTTTTTTTGATCAATAACATCAATTTCATTAAATTAAGAGAATAGAGGGAAAAGAATACAAAGGGTGATAAAATAACTTGGCTCCCCAAAAACAGAAAGCACAGGGAAAGCAAAGAAAATTAAAAACTAGCCCAAAAAACAGCCTCCCTATTCACTCCTTGCTTGGCCAACCCATCCGCAAATGAGTTGGCACTCCTCTTCACCCAGCTGTACTGAATCTCAATGTCCCTACCCAGCCATAAGAACTGTTTTTTTTCATTGTTAAAGTTCCACAAACCACTGTCCTCTGYCTTCAACCAATTAACCACCACCTTCGAGTCACCTTCCAGAATCAAACGACTAATATTTAGATCTTTTGCTCTTCGAATTCCTTCAAGCGCTGCAAGGATCTCAGCCCTAAGAGAGTCACCTTCTCCAATAGGGCCAGAGAATAAAGCAGTAACAATCCCTTCCTCATTCTTGAAGACTCCTACAATCCCAGATGGCCCTGGATTCCTTACACTACTGCCATCAAAATTCAGCTTTATAAAGCCCAAGGGGGGAGGGGACCAGAACGGACAAAGAGTCTTCTTGCATCTAGCAGTGAAAGCAATCTCTTTCCAGTTTCTTAGTAAGTCATCCATAGGTAAACAAAATTTTTGGGGGCTAAAATATAGCTAAAACCAGTGTTTTCAACCCGTCATTGACCCAGCTGGTTGAACTGTTCGAACCGTCATCAGGCTAGGATTCCAGGTCCAGTACTGTCAAAATCCGTCAGGTGGTAAAAAACTGTTGACTTGGTCAAGAACTGTCCGACCTAACCAGTTCAACCGTTGACCCGGTCATTGGGTCTAATGTTTCACACTCAATGCATGCGAACTTTTGGAGGCCATAACTTTGCACTCTGATGTTCGGTTGGAGTGCTTTTTTTTTGGTAGCTTTTCGAGATCTATATGTCCCAAGGTGCCTGTGCCTTGCCCTGCTATTTTCATGAAAAAAACCCCTTTTTGGCATTAAATTATAATTTTTATTATTTTTATAAATAAAAAAATTAAAAACTGAATTGAAAAACATAAATTAAATATAAAGTAATACATATGACGTCTAAAACACGCACACACACAGATCTATATATATATATATATAGATCTGTGTGTGTGTGTGTGGCACGATCAACCCAGACGGCCAAACCAATGACCCAGGACCAAGAGGAAAAGACGATCTGGCCTCCGGGTTGGTTTTTAAAACCTCGGCTCAAACATCCCAGCCTGATTTTTTTAGGGCCCCCTAATTATTACTACTACTACTATTACTGGTCTTTTGTTTTACTAGTAAAACCTTTGCCTGACCACAATTTTGGTTTGGGTAAACCCCCAACTCTCCGATAGCTTAAAAACTGTTGATCCACTTATCCCAGTCAATGGATCATGGATTATAAATATAGACCATGTTGATAATGTTGGTGCCAGCATGTACCAAACAAAACTTCCTATGTGGCAGCACTGGTTCTAAACAAAAAAAGTAAGCACTATTTTCTAAGAAAACGGTGCAATGTTCTCAGCACTGATGCCAAAAAGAACTGCGTTTTTTTTTTTTTTTGCCTCAATCTCAATTTTTTATATTACTACATCTAGAATGTGATTCTATATTGTTTATTATATATAATATATGTACACACAAACGGTGTTATACACATGATGTCGTGGCACGATCTGACATGTCCAACCTAGATGGTTGAACTACCCGTGATCCATTCCAGAGGGAAAAAGCGGTTCAGCCTCATGTTAGTTTTTAAAACATTGGTTTTATAGTATGTTTTAGTCAGTTTGAAGAAAAGGGATGAACCAATTTTTGAACTTTTTAAAACAAATTAGGTAATGGGTTACAAACCTTCCAAACCAAAGATTGTTCAGTTGAACCAACTACCAAGTATCAGATATGTCTTAAGCTTCTAAATGGTGATTCTCTTGTGCAAGACTCTTATAAACCAACATTTTTGAATAACAGGTTGATGTTGCGGAACTACGACAGAAGGTTCAAGCAATGGATACCTTGCAGAAGGAACTTGAGTTGCTCCAACGGCAGAAAGCTGCTTCTGAGCAAGCTGCCTTGAATGCGAAGCAGAGGCAGAGCTCAGGTGGGGTTTGGGGATGGCTTGCAGGAACCCCTTCTAACCAGAAAATTGTTGACATCTAAAAGTCTCAAGCACATACATGGTAGTCTCTTCTTTCATTTTCATTTTCATTTTCCTTTTTCTTCCTTTAATATCTCTTTTTATAACTTGGTTCTTTATAGTGATAGCAATAAATCATCAAGTTTTCAGTTTGTTAGCTGGAAGCCTAGGGGAATTTGCTTCGTCATATTTTATTAGTTAATCTATAGTTGTGATGCGGAATTTTATTATTTTTCTTCTTGTTATTCTAATACGATTTGTCATCTATTGGAAGAGCATTCGAGTGAAGCAACAATTCTTGTTTGTCTGTTTCTCCACCGGGATTGGATGAGGAAATTTATATTTGATTCGAAGAACGTATTTTAGTATTATTATATGCATCATGTTCAGCAAGGAATAATTTGATTTACCTATTACCATCAGATGTTCAGCAATTCCGTAGATCAGTTTTCAGGCTTAACTCGTGATAACAACTGAGACAACCAGGACGTAGTTAAGGGGGATAAGTCCATGAATTAATGTGGTTGAAGCTGTAAAATTCCAGTTTTTTTTCCCTTTCAGGTCAGAGTCCAACAACCCCATAATAGTTAATCGGAGAATAGCCTCAGGTCGTATATATTCTCCAGGCAACCTCAGCTATTCGTGCAATGGCCTTGAGCATATAGACGATCTGAGGTTATTCTTGTGATTCATCACTTCCATTTCTGTAGATCTTGAAACATAATTACATTGGCATGAATGTTCTTGTACAGGATGTTGCGTGCTCTAGGAGAATTCACCCCTAAAACCTAACTGTTAGAGGGTGGGAATCCAAGCACATACCCCACAACAGCATATATACCTCGTATTAACATCTCATACTATCAATACAAGACAAATGAATTGTAACATTCCACCATGTTCCACAGTCCTGGTACCCACTTAGTCTCGGTCAAACACTGCAATACCGATGTCATCACCTAGAATTCATCCCTAAAAGCCAACTGTAAAAGGGAACCCAAACACAAATACCCCCCAATAGCATCCCATACTACACATTAACATCGCATACTACCAAGGATCGTAACACAGGATCAAATCAAAAGGTTAATATCACTCGCTGCTTTAGGTTGCAAAATTCCACAATTGCATTTGAAATTGTGTATTATATGTGTTTAATGGCATTAACAATTCTGGGATAAATGCAGGTCGTATGTCGCATTTTTCTACCTACTTTTATTCCTTTTTTCCTCGGAGTATCTTTTTCTTCCCATGGGTTGTATCATACTGAACAAAAAATAGATCAAATTGAATAGACATGGATATGCCTTTTGCCCTTCAAATGGGCTTCATTACAACCGAAAAAGAATGGTAAAAGTCAACCCAAAAATGGGGGAGGGAGGAATATGGTTAGCTTCATGTCAAAATGGACTCTAACCAGTCTGATGTGTACTCGTATGCCACAAAAGTAACAGCACCCGCTGGGGCAGCTTTGACAATGGATGGGAAAATACCCTTGTAAAGGCCAGACCAACCCTCCATCTGCAAGATACGGTGTACGGCGTCATACATATTTCTATAAGCACGGTGCTCAACTCGTGCCCCATACTTAGGATGTCTTTGGAGCCCTTCAATCTGCAAAAACCAGATGAAGATTATGCATTGGCAGTAGACAGGCAAACGAAATAAAACTATCAGAGTAGAGGCACCAGTACGAATCCATTGACTCAATGAAACTGCCATGACTAGGGAGCTGTCTAAAACGCTGAGAATTACAGGAAATTTCCCTACCCTTCGGCCTTATAATAGGTCCTCTTTGCTCATTAGATATCCAAGTAATTGAATTAAGTTAAATAAAGAGTCATTTTTGGATTGCCTTCATAATTATGTCTATCTGATCTTTTATCCCATCTAATGGTGATAAGATACGAATTCAGTTCTGCTAGCATCTTCTAGTTAATGATAGGGCCATATCTTTTGTTAATTTGGAATGTCAATCAATATGGATCATAAAAGGTGATCAATTAATGGATAACAGTTTCTTTATAACTAGCAAAAATGTAGCAACACAAGTGGAAGACCAGTGCACGAAACTTTACAAAGCCAATAACCCTTTGAACAACTACTAGCACCAAGCTCAATAAGAGGACTAAAAAATCAGATGATCAGGTCATGAAAATATGGCAATCTAAAAGAAGAGGCTTCTTCGAAAATTTTCAAATTAGAATACTAAAATAATAAAATACCCTTCTCACTTGCTATTCCAAACTGGACATAAATTTTGGGTGTTTACTCATCATCATCATATCCAAGCCTTGTTCCAACCATACACTTTTGGGGTGCTTACAAAAACAAATATGACATATATGATCTATAGAAGGAAAAAATGGCATACTTTAGCCCAAGAAGGAAAGATCAAATTGAATACATTTATCTCCAAACTTCAAGTAAAACTATAATTTCATGATGTCAAGCAATAATTATTCATAGTGGTGCCCCACTGCCAATGGATTATTAAAAATGCCGGTTTATCAATCATGTTAACCATAAAAACTTTCCACCATTGACAATGTATGCAAGCAAGCAGGATGGGCAGATGCCACAGATTCAATAGGAAGGTCCCAGCTGCTTTTTCTCCATGTGAAAAGAAATCCCAGTTAAATCATTCTTACTACCCAAGAATTGTATCACACCTCACCCTAAGAAAAGCAATTTTTAAGACTTCTGGGCGAAGTATGGGTAAGGATATCAAGTGTTCACAACTACAAGGGTAATAATCATTCAATCTAATAAAACTGGCAACCACAAAGTAGGAATCCAACCAACTCTATTGCCTTGTGAAGGTTTTAGATGTATAATGATGTTGGCAGACTGAATTAAGTATCTTCCGGATTTAGATGTTCTATTTGGAAAAGCAGTACACAACATGTTTGCAGAAGATATAAAAATCTACCAGGAGAAATAGAAGCCATTGGGTACCCCCCCTAACTCATACAACAGTCCTAGAAAAAGAAAATTTAAAATAAAAGAGATTTTACCTGGAACCTCTTCTTGACCACATCGAGTGGGTGACAGACAGCTTTAGCACATGTACCAGCAGCTAAACCACAGAGGAAGAGCTGGAAACTCGAAAGACTATCATCTATCTGGCTTGAGGCAATATGAAGAGATCTATATCTGTTCCATGACTGAAGTACAGAAACCATCAGACAAAAGCAGAAGTTAATCAAGTAAAAGTAATCCATAAAAAAATAAAGAAAAAAGTTAATCGAGTGAAAAGGATGGTGGAATAATTGTTCCAGTTGAAAACCCTTAACCTTTTCTTGCTATTATTATGATCAGTAATCCAAATGTGTAACAAGATACAAGATGTGACTTTGCATCAATCTAAAGCTTTAAAGGCAACTTTGTTAACAAAACAGTATGATGACAAACATAGATTACATTAGGACATCAGTGCATCCTTGTTAATCCTACTCTTGCTAGCAAATTGGCCAAGTCACATTTCAAGAACCAAAGAGATGAGAAAATTCATTCTTGACCCCACTAATGTCCTTTCTGTCAAATCTAACACTCGTAGAGTGAGATGAAATAAGGCAATTCACACAGAAAAAACATCAGTTTAAACAAGTCTGCAATCTCATCTCATCTTCACAAAGGCAGGGCTCATTGAAGTAGACATTGGCCAATGACATAAGATTGATGAATGTGACTTGTAGTCTCTGGAATACAGTGTTTTAACTGCCTTGTTTCCTCTTCTCAGAAGATTGATGTTCATTGTCATAGTCAACATGAGACTGGATCATCAATTGTGTTCTCTGTCACACCCTCTGGATAAAGACACATCAGTATTTGACAGGAAAGCACACAATGAAGATCCAGCACATTTCACAAAGAGGATCATACAGTGTTTCCCTCATGTAAAGACCCACATGAAGAGCACTTGATCTTCCCCATGCCTTCACTGGTGAGATTGGAATTTCTGTCTCATGGACACAATAGAGAAGCAAAACATATAATGCAAACTCCATAATCATCATCATCTGCCTTGTCCCACCTAAATTAGGTCTGGCGGCATAAATCCTTCTCCTCCATTCAGCTGTAAGGGCATATCCACTACTAAAGAATGAAAAGAAAAGATCTGTCTCCTTTATCTAAATATGGCCCATTCTAGAGTTTTGGTTTCTCATGTTAGAACTTAGAATTGAAGTTATTTTGTCCGATTATTTTAAAATTTGGGAAGAAAATACCAATAAAAAGTAAATTTTTTATTGGGATGTTCTTTATAGGGGTGAAGAAAATACAAGAAATTTTTTTATGAAACTAGAAGAAAGAAAATTAAGCCTCCCAAACTAGAAGAAAATGCAAGAAAAATTAAGCCTCACTCTTCAAACTCAGACTAGGCATGCTTATAATTGTATTATTATTTTTATTTTTTCAGGTAATGGATTAGTTGGGAGGTTAATTTCTTTTTAATCGAATTTTGTATTATAGAATTTGTTAGGTGATACTGTTGGAAATTTTTGTAATGGGAGTTTTCATTAGGGTTGATGTGTCCATTAAATTGTAGCCTTTAGTTTCTTCTCTTGTTGATGTCTTATCAACAGCGCTTGTATTCTCTTTATTTTAATGACAATTTCTTTTATTATAAAAAAATAGCATAACTCATAATACATTAAAGGTGCACATTAACCTACCATGGTCCACCGCTTGAATGTGTCATAGGTACCAAACTGTAGGCCTGCATAAGGAATGATCTCAACCAGTGTTGGTGACAACCCAGCATATAATCCTCGAAAGCCACGATTTCTTACTATGTCAATGAATGCAGACCTCATGGAAGAGTACACCTGAATAAGTTGGACAATCTCAGTGAACTTGCAAGAATTTCCTGTTCCTCTAAATGCATGTCCATATAAGCATGCCAAGCATTTAACATAGTAAAAAAATTCACATATTTACTTTCACTGGTTTTCAAATTTCTTTTGCACCATATTATCGAAAGATCATAACAGAGTAGACCAAAAGAATAGTAATAAATGCAGCAGTACAATGATAAAGAAGTATGGGGCCTCTTTATAAATTTGCATAAACTGAACATCGAAAGTTCAAATCAGGCAAAGTCAAAGAAAGACTAGATGAGAAGGCAGGATGATCCTGAATAGAACACGCGCTGCTTTTCTTTATTTAAGAAAAAAAGACTAGAAAAAAGAAAGAAAAAAAATTCCTTTAGGAGTGTAAAAGAAGAAACCATAGAGAAATTCCATTGTAATCCACCCAGATCCCTAGACAGTCACATTCTAAGCAACCACAGAGAAATGGTGGAGTTTCCAGAGAAAAAAAAGTCCCTCGCTTCAACAAGGCACACAAGTTTCAAAGATTTCTTACACTTCCGACCCAACAAAAAGATTAGACTACATGTCATTTAGGGCAGTATCCAACCTTGCAGTTAAAAAGCATTTGGCTTTGGGTTTTAACAAGGTGATGGCAAATGGCAATGGCTGGCAACATCTTCATCTAAAAGTGGATTCCACCAATCTTGAACACGAAAAAGCTGAAGTTTGATGACTGCAGTAAGGAAAATCCTGGTGATTGGTGAATCAGGGATTTGTGACATGTATAGGGATCATATATGTGGTTGTCCCACCTATATGGGGTTGGTCACATGAATCCTGTTCCGCCATTCTATTTTTTTTTCACTGCCATATTCCTTTTTAAATTATGATCCCTTGAATTGTTTCTTACCAATGCAACCTATGCCCTTTTTAGTCTGTTCCTAGCTCTTCTAGCCCCTTCAACTTGTAACAGATATCACTTACTGGTGCTGTAGATGGGTCATCCTTGGAATATCATGGTCCTTTATTGAGGACCTAGTGGGAAAGGAGATTCAACTAGAATAGAGCTGTTGGCAGTTCTTTAAGGGTTGAAGTTGGGAAAACGTTTTAAATTACAGGGAGGTTGTAGTGGAAGGGGACTCAACAGTCATAATCATTGTTTAGAAAGCAGACCGGACCAGCTGGTCAGACCGGTTAAACCATGACCCAGGGCATTGGCCAGTTCAGTTATATGCTGAAACCTGTAACTCATGAAAAACCTGTCAAAACCGGCTGACTGGCCAGTTTAACAAGAAAACTGGTGAACTGATCCCAATTTTAAAAAACTGCCCAGTCACCAAATGACTAGAAGTTTCAAAATGTCAAAAGCAAGACTTGAACCCATAACCTTTTAATTGTGTATATTATTTTGTTACCACTAACCTATCTCTTTATTTGTGTTTATTTATGTCTCTATAATGTATATATTGCTTTAAAAATTAAGGTTCTAACCATTTATCCATCACATTCAAGTGCAATAACATTTGTACATATAATATAGTATTTATGTAACCCAAAATATATTTATGTGTGTTATGTTATCACGGTTTGATCGTGGTTGAATCTCTCCCTTTTCCAGTTCTATCCCCAGTCCAGTTCTCTGAACAATGATCGTAACTGACTACCTTATAAGTTATAAACAACAATTTAGGTACATGGTAGTACAGACACAAATTCAGAGAGGTAAGAAGTTTGGCTAGGGAGGTAAGAACCTTGTTCAACTGGAAAGAGAGATCAGCAAACAGCTTGACAGATGCATTTGGACAGACAAGAATTACAGTCTATTTGTAATGGGGGGGGGGGGGGTTTACAGACCAAGGGGGATGGATTGACATAAATGTAAATGAAGGGGACTATGAGTGGACAGAAACTGCTCGCCTAAATCAAAAGGGGTGTAGGCACTTTGTTCTTGCATATACTCCATTTTTTCTTATAAACTAATACAATTGAACAATTACCATTCAAAAATAAGCAAATATCAAGTAATCATTCCTTTCTGTCACAATATCTCTAACACCAAAATGAGCCGGTGTAATAGACTTTATTTATGGCAAATGCCTACAAGGGTGGGCTTCATTCGAGGGCTTGACAAAGAACATACCTTGTAAACATGGTTTAAAATGTCCCTAATTTCCCTAATATTTCCACAACATTTCCATTACCATGGGTAGTGACACGAAATTTTACCAGAATTGACATTTCCCCGATGAACACTACCAGCACTATGTGGAGTACAATAGACAGTTTTCATGACATATTTCCATTTCCACTTCCATGGGTAGCGACATGAAACTTTACTAGAACCAACATATTCCCCACTAAACACTACTGGTACTATTCGGCCGATACGTATCGTTCCGGGACCCCACCAATACACCCTATAGTGGGTGTATCGGGGGTTTGACTGGTTCAGGGGGTAGATGAGCCCTAAGCCGGCCCCCCCTGAACTGGTTTCAGAAAAAAATATTAGTCTTTTGTTTATTTAATGGATTATTTGGTTAATCTATTACAATCATTTACATTTTCTGAGTTAAAACTTTGCTTTAACTCATTTTATCATGAAACTCTAAATCTTAAGGTTTACAGGGCAACTCCAAAATGTATTATTTTGTCTATAACCTTAGTTTCTTAGCTTTGTTTACTGATTTGGAACTAGATAATAGTTTAAAAAGGTTTGCCTATGCTTCTTTTATCATTTCACAAGATATCATTCTATAATTTGCATATTTTAAAATGTTTCCACCATGTCTATAATTTTTACAATATTTCCATAAGATATTTCTGGCATGTTACTTATATTTGAATGACTGACATTGACATTTGAACAACAGTCCTCTGGGCCTGACCTTGTCACTGTCCAAGCAATTGATTAAAGCTCAATCCTTTTGCATCGTTGTAGTGATGGTATGTTAAAACGCTTCAAACGTAAAGTGATGCAATGGTCTCTGCCCACCTAACTCTATGTCAATATGCACATATGCAGGGCTTTTTTTTGAAAAGTAAAATATCTTTGAATTCATTGAAATAGGTAGGAATGTTAATGGAGCATGAAACTCCAATACTCAAAATTTGATTGTCTGGATTCAGACGATCCATTAATTAAATGAATATAAATGTTATTTCAGAAGTTCAATCAGTTTATTAATCAGATCAAATATATACATGCAATTATATGAAACTTGGATTGATCAACCAATAGATTTCAATTTTCAAATTGAATTCAGTAATGGATTTTTTTTTTCTAATTAGAACAAACTCAGTAGTAACTGGTAACTGGATCTCATCTGAATACGATCCAAATACAACTAGCATAAAAGGCCCCTAATTGTTCACAGATTGATCACAAAATCCATTAAGATTCAAGTGTCAAGACCATGAATAGCCCACTCTCATTGTCCCATAGCCCAGATAGATTTAGCCATTCGCCATTGCCTCATCTTCAAAACTTGTAGCCCACTCCTGCAGGCCAAATGACCAACATGGAAGAAAGCCCACTCTCATTTGTCTTTATTTGTTTTTTTTTTTTGGAAATGATTTGTCTCCTGAGTAAAACCAATACTCCATTGTATAATGCTACAACATATTTGTCATCCTGAGCCTGCAACATGCTTGTCTTCTTGCATGGACAGATTGCTAAACTGGTGGTGAGACACCATCAACTCCTTGCTTTAGGATTAATGAGATCAAACCCCAAGGTCGGAAAGGGTAGTTAAAACTAACCCATAATTCCACCTTTGACATTTCTTATTTTGTTCTCTTCTTTATTTATTTCTATTTCTATGCAGAAAACCATTAAAACCCTCCTGCAAGTGCAAGTTTAAAGATACCCTTCAAGACCATCACACGTTAGGCTGCTCCTAATAAAGTATAAGTGAACACTTTGCATATAACAGAGTGACATCATAAATGATGTCAAATGCACAAGTCTAAAGAAATTCTATATTGCATGCTTATTTCTTATCAATTGTCATTCTTGAAATGAAAACCCTGGCTCTCATAACTACTGCACAGAGAGATAAAGTCAGAATCAGTGTTTTAAAAGCGCAAGGCGAGGCATGCACCTTTTTGAAGCAAGGTGCAAAAATACAAAAAATAATATTAGACATATTATTAATAAAAATATAAACCTAAATATTAAGATGAATGTTTAAAAAAAACTATTAACTAAAATTAAAATACATAAACATAACATGTAAAGTGTATTCAAATGAAAATTTAAAAATAAAATCAAACATATAGAACATTTTTTTTTGATCAATAACACTTTCATTAATTCATCAATAGAAGATTTACAAAAGGAAGACAAACACGCTTATCTTCCAAGAGCAACAAAGAATCTCAAGAAAAGGAAAAAAGAAAGAGAAAAGAAAGAAAACACACTAAAGTTACAGCTTGGCCCAAAAAAGTGAATCCCTTTCTGCCCCTTGTTTAGCTAAACCGTC